TCGCCTTGCTGACAAAACCATTGTATTTTCCGAACATGAAGTATCTAAAGTAGTAGTCATGGTAACACGATAATTTTTTAAGATTATTCTTACAGGTGAAAAATCGCCTAAAAATATCACTTTTAATTACAAAACTATTAATTTGCCAACATATGATATGTTAGGTATGTTATTATACGTAATATAAGCCTCGATTTATGGTAAAATTCAACCACAAACGCTTCGCAAAACGTTTTAAAGTCACTAGTGTTCTTTATAACTTTGTTTTCTTTTTTATTTATTTCAAAAATTTAATATCATAAAAAAGGAATCAATATTAAAGATACACTGAAATTATATTGTAAGTGCTCGTGTTGCGTGGATACGGGCGCGTGGGCAGGTCGGAAACGTTCGTACGTTGTCGTGCTTTTGGGCGCGAAAGAACACAAAAAAAAGAGAACAAGTTAATACGAAAGGACAAGCTTTTTGTATTTTTAAGATTTGTAAATTAAGATAAAGGCCGAGTCATCAACGTTGCTTACCCGGCCAAAACCAAGTAAGCTAAAGATGAAACATGAATAAAGATTTATGAACATTGACAGTAAACAACGAGACTCACAAACGTGTATATTTCAAGTGTGAATATTTGTAAGTATGACACATTTTATACGGACAAGCCGATATATTTTGTGATTTACGAGAACATATAAAGAATATAGTATGGCTATGGACCGAGGTGGTCATGAGACGGATGAATTACGATCGGAAGTCTGCGAAAAAGACTTAAACGAGAACATCTCGAAGGGAAAGAAGAGCGAAGAATTATTCGAAGACGAAGCCGAAGGTAATCTTGATAAGTCCATTGTAATCAATACAGAAGACGATATGGGGAGTACTCGAAGCGTAGATGCAGAGGGACAACAGGCACGAATATGCACAAGAAGGGGCGTACAAGTAAACTTAGAAGACGCACGAAAAAAGACGAAAAAGTCAGGTATGGCTGCAGAATCTCGTATAAATCGTATAGATGAATTACTTAGAGAACAGTATTGTGATATTGTGAAGCTCACTGCTAGTAAAGATGGTCTACAAATGGATATGGATGACTTTAAGCGATTTAATGAAGAGTTATCGGATTTGTTATTATTGTCTTTGAGTGATTATAATTCTAACATTGAGGATCAAGTGTATTTTGAGGGTATTCGTGAGAAGTACTTAGAGTGCTGTACTGATGTTAAATCTAAAATAGGTGATTTAACACAAGAGAGATTGGAGACGCTTTCGCAGAAAACTTCGAACGATCAGAATTAGCTAAGTCAAAGGGCTTTGCTTCCTGTGTTTATGTCATGGTCATATGGCCAAGAGTTGTAAAGAATCCATTAGATGCCAGACTTGTAGGAAACCCCATGCCACACTTCTCCATTTTGAATCCAAGGAGTCTAAGAACGCGAATAAGAAAGAGAACGAAAGCCTAAAGTAGCTAGTCATGTCGTAGTGTGTCATAGCAATGATTGCAATGAAGTAACAACATCGTCTTTAATACTTCCGGTATGGATATGTCACAAGGACAATCCTTAGAAGAAAATAATGACAAATGCTGTTTTAGATGATCAAGGTGACACATGCTTTGTAACGGACAGTGTTTGTGATCAGTTTGAAATTGAAGGACCTGAGACTGTGATTGAGTTAGGAACAATGCATGCAGTAGAAGATATCCGAACAAAGAAAATTAGCGGTCTTATTGTTTCATCGGAAGATAAGTCACTAGATGTACCCTTACCAAAGGCTTATTCCGGAGAAAATATTCCAGCACGTCGAGATCAGATCCCTAGAGTAGAAATGGCGATCAATTGGAGTCATATGAGTCCAATTGCCAATGAAATACCAGAATATCGTGATGATCTCGGTATTGGTCTCCTAATTGGAAACGATTGTGTCGAACCTATCAAACCACGTGACGTTATTCCCGGGAAACCTCAAGACCCGTATGCTATTACAACTGTATTCGGTTGGGGCTTTATTGGAGTAACAAACCCTGTTGATCACCGCGAATGCCAGTCAGACGGAACTAGAATGCATTGACATCCAGTTACAACCAAAGATTATACTAATTACCAATACTTATACTAATTCTGACAGGCTATTTTCATTTGTGGTATTGATGAAGGGCTATATAATTTCAAATTAACTTACAAAGGGTTGTTAATTAAAGTCTATTCTTTGTTAGTTCTTACTTCAGTTGCAAGTTTTGCTAGTTGTATGTACGTACACTCGATCAGCAGGCATGATGAGACATCTGATGTGGTCGTACTTAATATTGACTAAAACTGTGATATTGGCACAGCCTATAGCTGCCCAGATACTGTTATTAAATTTAAATGACTAAAGTAATTAGTTTAACACACAAATTTGATTACTAATTTCCGACGGCAAGTTAGGGTAGCTCAAGTCAAGTCTAGAAATTGACTCGACTTAAATCAGTGACCCGACTTGACTCGAGTGAAGCCGCTGACTCGACTCGAATGAAGCCACTGACTCGACTCGATCAAAAACTGAAATGACTCGACTCGACTCGTGACTCGACCTTTGAGTGACTCGACTCGTGACTCGACCTGTAGGTGACTCGTTACAACACTGATTAGAATACTTTTCGAGTTGGCACCGAGCCAAGAAGGCCATCGCTATTTGTCTTCGTTATAGCAGATTGTTACGTCAAAGGGTACGTGTGAAAAGGGAGAAAAAAGGATGTCGAGAACATTGAGAAAGCAGCAAATGTTACGAAACCTGACCAAGCTGTTACTGTGGAAGTAATGAATGCTGCAGAACGGGAAATAATCAAGGCACTGCAGAAAGAATAAGCTCGTTAAAGTCAAAACCCGAAGTCAATGTACCGGAAGCTCAACGACGGCGAAATACGGTAGCTAGAACTAGCCTGATTGCTAAACTAGATCCCCTTATGGACGAACATGAAGAATTCGAAGATCTAGTATGGACGCTAATATCAAGCATCCGGTAGTCTTACCAAATAGAGCTCACGTTTCGAAGCTGATAGCGAAACATTTTCACCAGAAGATTGATCATCAAGGACGAGGGATAACTTGGAATACGATACGTGCTTCAGAATATTGGATCGTCGGTTGCAAAGATGTTGTAGCTAAGCATACCAAAGATTGCGCCGTTTGTCAAAGATTTCGAGCGAGTGTCAAAGATCAGAAAATGGCAGATCTTCCGAAAGAACGGGTTGAGACCTCACCACCATTCACATACTGTGTGGTCGATTATTTTGGACCATTCTACGTAGAGCAAGGCCGGAAAGAATTAAAACGATACGGTGTATTATTCACGTGTTTAGCCTCAAGAGCTATTCATATAGAAATATCTCACACTCTAGAAACAGACTCGTTTCTAAACGCCTTTCGACGATTTGTCTCTAGACGAGAACCCGTGCGAGAACTGCGTTGTGATCGTGGAACAGACTTTGTAGGCACCAGTACGGAATTGCCAAAGTGTTTGAAGGAAATGAATCACGATAAGATCAAAGAAGAATTGCTCAAAGAAAGTTGCGATTGGTTTCAATTCAAGTTCAACGTGCCGAAAGCCAGCCATATGGGAGGAATTTGGGAGAGACAAATCAGGACAGTTCGGAATGTCTTAAATGTTCTGCTATGCCAAAATGGCAGTCAATTGAACGATGAATCGCTTCTTACCTTCATGTGCGAAGCGGAATCTATCGTCAATAGTCGTCCGCTTAGTGTTGACAATCTCGGTTTACCGGACAGTTTAGAGCCGTTAACACCCAATCATCTGCTTACGATGAAGAGTAAGGTTCTTCTTCCCCCACCAGGAGTGTTTCAGAAAGAAGATATGTATCTACGTAAACATTGGCGAAGAGTTCAACATATATGCAATGAGTTTTGGTCGCGATGGAGAAAAGAATTTCTGCCTTCCTTGCAAGAACGCCAAAGATGGCTCAAACCAAAACAGAATCTCGAGGTCGGAGATATTGTTATCGTCGCTGAAGAAGAATCATCCCGAAACTGTTGGCCATTAGCTCGCGTAGTGAATGCTGAGAAAGACAAAGATGGCTTAGTTCGAAAAGTAAAGTTGATGGTCGGCGAGCAGAGACTCACGAAGCAAGGAAGAAAAGAGAAGCATCTCGTTAGCCTGGAACGTCCAGTCCACAAGTTGATATTGTTAATCCAAGGAGAAAGACCGGGAATCCCCGCCGAAGAGCCTGATGATTAATGATATAATATATATAATGATACAGACATTACTGATAAACGTTAAGTTCATGTTATTGTTGTTTATATCTAGTAAATTCTAATTTCGAATTTAGGGGAGCCATGTAAGCTAGTGCTCGTGTTGCGTGGACACGCGCGCGTGTACAGGTCGGAAACGTTCGTACGTTGCCGTGCTTTTGGGCGCGAAAGAACACAAAAAAAGAACACGTTAATACGAAAGGACAAGCTTTTTATATTTTTAAGATTTGTAAATTAAGATAAAGGCCGAGTCATCAACGTTGCTTACCCGGCCAAAACCAAGTAAGCTAAAGATAAAACATGAATAAAGATTTATGAACATTTACATATATGCTGTCAGTTGTTCAGTTGTTTCATATACGCAAAGGCCGTCGGGTTTTAAAGCCATTATAAAATCTATATTTAAAACAAACTTACCTTCGTTAACGTCGCCTCCCTTCTTTTAGCCGATTCTTTGGCAGTTTATTTCTGAGAGAGCTTTTGAAATTTACAAAATCTTGCAAAAATGCGAGCAAAAATGAAATATATTTGCAAGAAATTTATCAATCATCAAATCAAGAAATGTTTGCTATTTCGTTGTCGTCATGCAGTCGCTATAATGCCAACTTTAAATTGGACCAATCAGTGTCTGCTATTCATGACAGTCCGCCATATTTTTGAGATCAAGGAGGATGACCACCCACCCAACACCCCAACATCGTTGGTCACCCACGCCCGCGATAATTGATGAACTTTAGACTTCAGTAATGCTTTCGTTTCCCCGGGTATAGCCGGGGGGAATTAGTACCCTCGCACGGCGCTTCGCGCCGTCGGCTCGGGGAAAATTGACAATGCCAAAATGAATTACAAAGACAAAGTTCTACTATTCAAACCAAATCTTATTATACTAAGAATCCACTATTTTAACAAACTTCTAACAAAAAACCCAGATATGTACACAATGACTTTAGTTCACAATGCATTACAGTCAATTATCAATATCACCTTTCAATCATATTTATAAACAGTTACATTGACTCATTGCATTACTATGTCAAAATAATCTCTAAACAATTCAACCAATTTCAAACAATCTCAAACTACTTCAAAACAGTTTCAAATAAATTTCAAGAGAGGTTTCAACACAACACATTAGCTAGGTTGATGCGATATATCAATATATCTTTGATAAATATCGATATTTCCAAAATATTAATATTTGAAACTATTATGCACTTTTCGCATATCGACAATATGGAACCTTTTAACTAGAGAACTGAATCTCCTTACAGTCAAACCGGATGTTCGTTTCCGCGGGATATCGCAACATTGTTGGGAATATTGCAATTTTGATTGCGAGATTTCTCTGAGCAAGTTGCAACTGACGTGATCAAATTGCAAGTTGAAATTCACAATCAGATTTGTAAAGAAAGTCTCCGATTGGCCACTGGTAGCAAAGAAGAACCAATCCATTTGCTCATAGTATTTGATTGGTTCTTCTTTGCTACTAGTAGCCAATCAGAGACTTTGATTACAAATCTGATTGTGAATTTCAACTTGCAATTTGATCACGTCAGTTGCAACTTGCTCAGAGCAATCTCGCAATCAAAATTGCAATATTCCCAACAATGTTGCAATATTCCGCGGAAACAAACATCCGGTTTGACTGTAATTAGTGAGTGTTTTAGTAACAAATTATAAGTCTGCGCATGCAGTATGTATATGTGAATGTGTATTTTTAAGTATTTTAGTCTAATCTTACTAGTTTTCTTAAACAAATACATGTAAAATTAGTTTGAATATCCTTGTAAACCTAACATATTTCAGCAGTGGAATTAGTTATATTCTGGAGCTGTAAGTTTTAGTGACAAATAAACTATCAAACTATCAAACTAACTAAAGTTGAGAAAACGCATATGTGACAGCAATTGAGAGTTGGCAATTTAAAAGTGTAAACATAGTAAGAGTGATCACTGAAGATCACCATCCATGCGAGCGATAGTTTTTGAAAACAATAACTGTGTGATGACTCGTAAACAAGGAATCAAAATATCACAGCTCCTTCCAATTTACTGTCTAGACTCACTGGAAAGTCTAGACAATAACTATGTCTAATCAACAATTAAAAGCCCTGTTTGGATTTACTTCAAGAACAGTGCAGGCTGACTGAACTACGTTTTCTAATTTCATAAATCGATATAGTCCATATTTCTGTTTAATATCGATATATTGATTGTTTCCTTATCACTTCAGCCTAATATTACGCAAAATATTTTCAATTTATCTTGCCTTGCTAGTGGGGCAGCACATTGTCATGCATACTCATATGATCTTCAAGTTTGCTGGGGATTTCAAACTCGGCATCGCAGACACAACAGATATAACCAATACCAGTTGCTTCTTTTGCTTCGAATTCCTTACAGACATTACATTGGTAAGACGTACCATGGTCTTTGGCCTTGTGTTGATATAAACTTTCAATATCAGGGAATTGTTTGTCGCACTTGTCACAGACAAAATAATCGCCACTCAGTATCTCACCAACATGCCCTTGTTCTTGAATAATTTCCCTGCCACAACTGTTGCAGAATAATAAGCCATCTTCTGAATGTAATCTCCAGTGACGTTTGAGACTTTTATGTTGTGTGAATGTTTTCTTACATTTAGCACACTCGAAACACTGCTTTACCTTGTGTAATGATATTTTATGTCGTGCCAGCTTGTATGATTCTGAAAATCTCTTCTTGCAAATGTCACGTTCAAAAGGTTTCTCTCCGGTATGTGTTTTTTTATGAGTGGCTAAGCCACTTGATTGTGAAAATCTCGTCTTACAAATATTGC